AATGCTATAACCTTTGGAGACAATTTACCTCATGTTAAGGACTGTAGACGTCATTTGCCGTGTACAAAATCACACAACTTTGGCATGTAAAAGATAATGTCTATGGTGATTTCTCAACCTGAGGCATTTTACTTGCAAAAATGATGCATCATTCCAGTGTAAATCCCAGCAGTATTTTGATCAGTGAGTGAGACCATTGGTCCAGGAACTGTGCATTGTCAACTCTGACAGGCAGCCATCATGACAGGATTTCAGGCAGGATTCTTAATCAGTGGAGATCCCTAGTATTAAGTCCTGGTTTCCTACTTAATTACAGTACTACCCAGGCCCAACCCAGCTGATTATCTAAACATAAATGTGCCTTGTAAGTTAAGAGTGGTGTGCTGGTAGGTCCTCATGTTTTATAAGGAATTCACATATATTTTCATAATGTAGTTCCATATTTGCATTTTAAACAACGACCCACAAGGCTGCTTAAATGTTTGAGATGGACTTGTAGTAAATGACATACGATGCTATTTGCCCAACAGTAGTTCAGGGATTCTTCTGTCATTAGGCAGAATTTGGCAGACAACTTAGGTAGCGGATTCTGAGCATAATTAAACGGCAAAAATTCTTCTTTAATTTTTCTTTATTATGTTTTTACTGCCTGGGATTTTCCTTCTCCTGTGCAAAAATAATTTGCCTAGCTTTGGATACTCTTTGCCTTTAACTTGGTTGGCTGGAAATGGGACTGCCCTTTGCTGCTCTGACTCAGCCAGCCAAATGGCTTCAGATTGCCTTGGCTGTAAGGACAATACAGTATTGCTGAGTAAATGACTCTTTTGGTAACTGTAAGCATATGCTGTGTGTAGATAAAGGGAAAAAAGAAATGCCACACAGCAGAATGGAGCAAAAAAAGAAAAAAGAAAAAAAAGAATCACAAATACCCCTTTCCTGTTTTCTCTTTTGGGGTATGACATTTGCTTCTTATGCTTTGAAGACTAAACTAATAGGTTTAGTCACCATCAGAATGGCAAATATAATAATCATCATTTGTCGTCAAGTCAAATCTGAATTATGGCAACCTTGTCTTTCAGTTGCCAGAATGATGATGTATTTTTCCAACAGTGACAGGATTTCCTTTCACCTTTGGATGTAGTGGGCTGCATCTTTAGCAATTGTTTCCAGCAATATTATCATTCACTGAAAGGATGTTTGTCAGATGGCTATCACTCTCCTGAGTAAAACTGATTGCGTATGATGGTCAGGATTCTAGTTTCTCAGTACTGAATCAACATTTCCAAGCAGAAATTTTCTGTTTGTTAGTACCTGTGTTGACGTAGAGACAGCAGGAAGGTAGTAAGAATCTTCTGCAGCCAACATCTGTGGCATTCCAGGGAAACATTTCCTCTGATGATAGCGAAAATTGATATTGAGACACAGAAGGGGTGACCACACTGGCAATCTAAATTAGAGCAATTTGTTTTTGTATCAGCTTGGTTCACAGTTTTCCTTGTGACCACATTTAGTTTAGGTGACCACACAAAGACTTCAAGGTTGTTTCAGTGCCAGTGATGCAAGTTCAATCTGCACTCTCACACACACCTCTCCTTTGATACTGCCCTCCTTTCTGGAACTGTTTAAAGGGTTGCATGGTGGTAAGAAAGGAACATACACATACCATGGAAACACTGTAGTCTGCTGGAATTTTCTAGCAGTTCTCTGACCAGACATTCACCAAGTGCAACATCAAACACATGGAATCTGGATGCCTACCAGCAGCAGAATGAAAGTTAGACTGCAAGGAGATAAAAGCAAGTTTCTACATCATCTTTTACTAAAGGTCATCACTGGGCCCTTCACTTCTACTTTCTCTGCTTTCTATCACATTTACGGCAGCCCCTTCCTTCTCCCAAACTCCTATAGTGCCTTCATTGTACCCTACACACATGATACTTATTAGGCAGGAAAAGCAACAAGGACTCTAGTGGCACATTGTCAAATACAACGTATTAGTTTTTGAGGTGCTACAAGATTTGTGGTTGCATTTGCTACAACAGATTAACACAGCTACTAACACCTTCCCTCCTCCTCACCCAAGAATATAGACAAGCAATTGTATAAATACTCCAGTACAATGTAATCCCAGGTCAAAGATGGGGCCTAAATGTTTTTTTTTAAGGAAGAGATAATAGCACAACCATTGTTCTGCCTTTAATATGGACTCTTTTCAATAAAGTAAATAAACATTATAGAGAAAAACATAATGGTAACTGGCATCTATATAATTAGAAACTTGGTTCCCCCCTCCCTGCACTGCCCTAAAGGAATGGCTCAGCTTAATGTTGCCTCTTTAGCACCATGATGCTGGGTGCACAAATTTGTATTTTTACCAGCCCAAACCTGAGCAAAACAATTGGCATTACAGTGGTGCCTTGCTTGACAATGTTAATTCGTTCCAGCGAAATCGTTGTAGAGCGAAAGCATTGTTAAACAAAAATTTTTTAAAACCCATTGAAACGCATTAAAACACGGTTAATGCATTTCAATGGGCTGAATACCTGCTCGTCCAGTGAAGATCCTCCATACAGCGGCCATTTTTTGTGCCAGCATAGTGAGGAATCCGTCCTAGAAAACAGCGGGGGGCCATTTTGAAAGGCAGTGGCCATTTTGAAATCCGACGATCCGAAACAGAGAACTGATCTTCAGTTTAATGTTGCCTCTTTAGCAGCATGATGCTGGGTGCATAAATTTTTATTTTTACCATCCCAAACCTGAGCAGAACAATTGGCATTATTTTAGGCAGTCCAAGACTTTCTCCTCCGTTAATTCGTTCCAGCGAAATCGTTGTAGAGCGAAAGCATTGTTAAACAAAAATTTTTTAAAACCCATTGAAACGCATTAAAACACGGTTAATGCATTTCAATGGGCTGAATACCTGCTCGTCCAGTGAAGATCCTCCATACAGCGGCCATTTTTTGTGCCTGTATAGTGAGGAATCCGTCCTAGAAAACAGCGGGGGGCCATTTTGAAAGGCAGTGGCCATTTTGAAATCCGACGATCCGAAACAGAGAACTGATCAACGTGAAGCGAAATTGCCCCATTTAAAAATGATGGCAAAAACGTCGATGTAATGCAGATTCGTCATAGAGGGGGTAATCGTCCAGTGCAGCACGACTGTATTTTAGGCAGTCCAAGACTTTCTCCTCCTGGTGAGCTATACTATACTGTGATCTTTAACAAGGACTGTGGCTAGGAAGCTCAGGGGAATGGTTTGGGATAGATCAGAGTGGAAGAAACTGGCAGGAGTCAAATGGGGGATTTTTCCATGTTGAACTGGGTTGGAGACCTATCTGCCAAGCTTCTCCCATCCTTATCATTAAAGACTGGAGACAAGAGGCACTTCAAAACCCAGAAAGATTCTGTATGGAAACAGAGTTCTGATCTGTGGACCAGCAAGATCTTGTGTTGATCAGAAATGGATTTCAACCCAGGAATTTGTTGCAATGGGATTGACTCCCCAAAACACATGCAAAGGCTTGAGCTATGCTTTGCACATTCAAAATATGGTTTAAATTTGGGCCTGCCTGCCCACTTTTGTTTGGCCCTGTCCCATGCCCTGAACCCCACGTTGGAAACCAATCCCTAAAACTTTCCCAAATTGATGGTTGGCCCCTGGTCTGAAAAGTGTTCCCCACGTGTGAATGGATAATCCCTCACTGTGATGGGCTACTGCAAACAGTCTTCCATGATACTCACTTTAAGTGTTCCTCCCAAGCAGCAGACATGGCAGGGCTGGTGGTAAGATATTGGTCAAAAGCCTGTTGTGTTTTTGTGCTAGTGTAATGCAGCTGCTGCAAATCCTCACAGCAAACTGCCCCAAGTTAAGAAGTCAGAATAGGCATTTGCTGTTGCAGGCCAAGACACACAACTTGGCCTGCAACAGCAAAAGCCTATGCTGTCTTCTTGATTTGGAGCAATTCACTGCCAAGATTTATGCCATTAATTGTAATTTGAAGGATTTGGCCACCATCATCCCGATAAACAGTGTTCCATCATTAACAATAAAGACAGAGACGGACATGGACCTTTGTTTGGAGGTTCATGCCAGTTCGTACAAGTGGCACCATAGGTGCCATGTATTCCCTTCCCCCTCCTCACCAGCTGGTGCGCACTCCTCTCCTGTTATTTGACCAGTGTCCAGCAGGAGCACAGCCCTCCTCACCCCACCTCCTCGGTTCATCACCGCTCAGACAAGGCAGGACAGGGTCCTGTCAGGGACGGGTTGAACAGCTGGAGGAGGAGGAGGAGAGGAGCATGCTCTGACTGGTAAGGGAGTAACTGGCTAGGGAGACGGGAGAAGGGAACACGTGTCACCTATGGTGCTGTGAGTATGAACCAGCACAAACCTCCAAACCAAGGTTCATGCCCATCTCTAATAAAGACCAAATGTACTGTTTACTACCATGGGTTTCCTACAGCACCACTTAACCTGTCATCATAGAAATCCACTACAACCTAATCCTATTTATACTTACTCGAAGCCTAGCTCTATTTTAACAGATTGCAGTCTTTCATCTCAGATCCACTGCTTGCCAACACACTGGAAAACTGAGCGGAGAGACTTCACATTCTTCCTGAGTTTTACACAGGATGCCATAAAACCATCAAAAAGGTGATTTACGTGCAATTCCTTGAAAAAAAAATCATGACCATCAATAAGGATCTGAGACTTAAACCCATGTTTTTGTCTCATAGTGGCACAGGAAAGCACCAGATTCATGACTGTGATGATTTAAGGGTTAAATTGGAGAAAAGAGAGAGAGAATGAATATAGTGGGCTCAGGAAAGAGGACTAGTGTCAGAAAATACATTTTAAAAATTGCAGCAGCAATGATTTAGGAAAAGACTTGTTGATGTAGCCAGAATAGAGGAGGTGTCTGAAGGAGAAAAAGACAATTACTTAGCCTGTCTTCAAAAGGGATGTTTACCTGAAGAGAAGAATGACAGGGGCACTGTGACAGCAAGAACCAATAAACATGTAATTATATATACATAAATGCAAGATCTTCCAGTAGATTTGGCTCATAAATTAAGAAAATTCATCTATAAAATTAGCACAAATTGTTCCAAATGCAATGAGCCTTACACTGTAAATTGGGTTTCATGTCTGTTTGATAAAAAGACAAGCTGCCTCCTTTAGGCATACAGTCTTCTGGTTACAAATAGAATGTGTCCTGAAAACTGTTTCTTTGGAGAGATGATTAGTTTCCTGTCCTTTGCATTTTAAAGTCTTTAACCTGCTTCACAAGTGAATCCAGCTCTTCATGGTCATCCTCCAGGTCACTTAAGTTCAATTCACTGCCTTCCTCGGATCCTCTCCTTCTATCCCTTCTCCTTGGATCAGTTGTGGAAGGCTCCTTCTCAGGTTTCTCCAGACTCATCTCAATCCTAAAACAGAATGTACATGGGGTCATCTATCCTGCTGCTATCCCTGAACTTTCACACTAGGATGTGGGATGGGGAGGAAACACCTTTTATACAATTCCCTACTTGGCAGTGATCTAATACAGCAATGAAGAGAATGAAACCTTGGGGGAACATGACACCAGTCAGAGCATGCTGGCCTAGAAACAGAAAATGACTGATAATAAGCAAGAAGAAATTGCTAGAATAACAGTAACAACACTGATTCCCTTTAACAACTCAGATTTGATTTCTCCTTTCTGCTGAGGATATTAGCTATGAACCACAATTTCACAAAAACAAGATGTGGGTTATTTTGTGCCTCTCATATGACACAGCACCCGATCCTGTTTAGAATTCCACATTCCAAAAGCAGGGTAACAGTTTCAGCTGCAGGCTGCCACAGACAAAAATAAAAACCACACTATTTAATGTGCATTTGTATACAGTACTGCTAACAACAGCTAAAACATAAGGCATTACTAACTCCCTGTTGGGGCACTTAAGCAAAAACGCTCCATTAATTGTTAGTAGGAGAGAATTTCTGAAATGTTTAGGCAACAGGTGTGAGGAAATGAGCGGCATGTGAGGAAATAGGAGGAAATGAGTGGCATGTGAGGAAATAGGAGGAAACTGGGACTTGTGGTCATGTAACGATGGAGTCTGTTAGGTTCTGTGTAAATTGGATTTAAAAGCACTGAAATGTTCTCATGAGATTGTTGTTCAGAGTTTGCTCTGCCTGACACAAGATAAGAAACAGGGATGAGGAGACTGGGGGAAGGCGAAACAACACATACCTCTTAACTGGGAGAGGATAAGCCACCTGGAAGATCTCATGTGAAATAGGGGAATGGACTGTGTTACACCCACTTGATCCTAACTGGTTTGTCTTTTGAAGGAGAAGGGGGAGGAATAGCCCAGCTTCTCTAGATGCTAAGATGTAGAGAGCAAAGATGATTACTTAGCATGGTTTTAGCTGTTTTATTATTTTACCTAGGAATATTATTTAATCATGGTAATTGCTAGATATGCTTAATGCCTTTTAATGCTACAACTGTATTCTAATGAAACTACTTTATTTTCTTACTAAAAAGAATTATTCTTAACTGAAGGACTTGTCTCTTGAACAGCAGGATTCCACCTAAATCCAGTGAGGATTGAGAAGGTCACTAATTGCTACTGTAAAATAGAAAGGTCCTACTTGGTCAGTCTGTCGTGCTATTTAAGGAAGCATACAGACAATGATTGATTGCTTTGCAAGGAAGCAAGAGTTCTCTTTAAGGCCGAGATCTGTCCACGGAGCAAGGACTACGCACTTCTGAGGCTTAAAGGACCTACTTCAGGCACTAAAAGTGGTAGTTTTGTGTCCAAAGTGACTCCTCGCCAGAGATCATTATCTCTTTAGGAAGAAGTGATTCTGACAACAGGCTTCCCAGAAATTCTTTTTTAAAACAGCTTTGATTTTCTCACCACTACTTGTCTGTCTACTCTGTCTACTCTTCTGGATAGGCATAGCATCTTACTAGAGGGAAAACGAAAGTTGCTTTTTAATGCTGCAAAGGGAGGATACACAGAATATAACGAAAAAGACAAGGCATTGATAGATGTGTGACAAAGCCTCACTCCCTGACAAAGCTCAATAGTGCCCCCTGGAGCATCTGAGACACTGGGCGCCCTGCCAGGCAGTTCAAATATGCCAAATGTTTCTTTTGTTCTCCATACACATTCAACATTTAATCTTTTTGCCCAGATATTCAGTATGGCTGGCTAAAATTATGCAGGTTCATTATAAATGTATAAGTCATAAACAAGGTGGGTTAAGTTGCTAACCGATTTCATAATTCTGGAACTGTATAAATTCTGCCCCAGCTCAGGGACCAAAGCTTGTTGGAAGCCTGGAATCTATTATGGTTGTGAACTTCCCTTCAATCTCCAATCCAAGCTATAGAGCAGGTCAGTGCCCTTCAGATGTGATGGACTGCAAAACCCATAACCCCAGAGCCCGATATAATAGAGCTATGCTGGTTGTATCCTGTGGTATCATGGGAATTGTAGTTTGATGCATCTACATGGCACTAGGTTGCAGAAAAATGAGTCAGGGAAAAGGCACAGGTGGATGATCTTGCTTGTTTTTACATTAAGAGGCTTCTTTTTTTTCTACTCCCAAGTTTCAGGCTTTTGGAAGCACAGTGTATTTCAGGGCCATGGGATAAGAACCCCCTGAAGGCATGGGGATTAATGGAAAGAGTACATTTTTAGTTGACCACCAGAGCCAGGCAAAGTTTGTTAATCCCCAAGAAAAATATGTAGGTGTCTGATGATCACCAAATCGTAAGTCAAATTCTTACGGAATCACAATTTCTTCTTTTTTCCCACACTTGGCACAAAGATTGAGTTCACAGGCACACGGCTTGCAGACAATGTGATACGAATCCTTTACAGTCTTCTGCAGACATTTCACACTGCTCAGAGAAAAACAAAAGGGCAATTAGAATTGTTAACATAACTGTTTTCCACAGAATATTAATATTTACCAGGCCAAGCAGAAACCTATGAGGTAATTATATCCAAAAAATGCACCAGATGCAAACACAGGAGAAGAAATGGAAGATTTCCAGGAGTTAATAAAGCCATGGGAGTTGTTTTCAGAAAAAAAATTGTGAATCATACAATACTGATTTCTTACCAAACTTAAACTTACTTTACTGCTCAAGAATGTGATAAAAGTTACTATGTATTTTAGTACAGTATTGGTTGAAATCCTATTGCTTAGCATAATAAGTCACACCAAAGTAGGCCCACTGAATCAGTGGGGGTTTTGGTGAGTCAACTCCTCCACAGGTTCTACTGACTCAAATAGGCCTACTCTAATTGCAACTTACTATGCTAAATTAACTTGTTACTAGACCAGGCCCACTTGGATCAATAGAACTAACAAGGAGTTGATTCACCAAATCCCCAATGATTCAGTGGGCCTAGTCTAGTACGACTTACTATGCCAAGAAAAAGGATTTCAATTACACACTCAAAGGTCTAACATACAAGGTTTTTTTAAATTTTTATTATTAGATTTTTTTTATCCCTCCCTTCTAGACAGGAGTCTACTCAGGGCGGCTCACAATATATTGTGCACAAAACGGATTTTAACACAACAATTAAGTTAACATCACATCCTGTTTTGGGGAGGCAGTGACAAACTGTTGCATCTCAATGTACTCAAGTGTGTTTTGTTTGTGCCAGATGGAGAGAGAGATTATATATTGGAATAGCATTTGGGCCATACTGCCCTTCATATTATATATGTTGGGCAGCCATCTTCAAGTTTTTGTTCTATATTCTACTAATGTGTAGTATATTATGTTCCTAATCCTAAATGTGAACTACTACCCAGCTGATTTAAAAATCTGAAGATACGCATAATCCATGTTCTGGAACAAAGTTAGATCTTCAGGGTATAATTTGGATGCCTTAATTCATTATTTAGGAAGTAAGCAAAATATGGATCCTTGTGAGGCCTCTGCATTCAGCAGATACTGGGGAGTATGAATTCTTAGTTCAGAACAAGTAAAAGGTTGCTTTCTTATGATTATGGTTTTTAGAGTAACCATATGTGAACTCACATGCTGGGATTGTTCTGCACCTATGCAGAGCCTTCCAGATGAGTTCAGGTATATGTTTCAAGTGAATATACAGTCGTGCCCCGCATAGCGATGATAATCCAGATGTTTCAAGTGAATATATGTGGTCCAGGGCATGCAAAGTGGAGTAGGGAACCATGGTTGTTATAGATACCAAGAGGTGATAAGGACAGTTTGAATTGTTGTTCTGCATCTTGAATATTGTCCTAGGGGGAATTAGGGAAGTGTGTACAGTGGTGCCTCGCTTAACGAGTGCACCGTTTAACGACGAATCCGCATAGCGATGCGTTTTTTGCGATCGCTAATGCGATCGCATTGCGATGTTCTGAATAGGGAAAACATCGCATTGTGATGATCGGTAAGTGTTTCGCTTACCGATCTTCGCATTGCGATGTTTTGGAACAGCTGATTAGCGCTTCCAAAATGGCCGCTGGAAGAAGAAAATGGCCGCCTGCAGCGTTTTCGTGCTGATTCCTCACTTACCGAGGTGGCGAAAATGGCAGCCGGATTGAGGATTCCCGCTTAGCAGTGAGTTTTGTCCCCATAGGAACGCATGCGTCCCTATGGGGTTCCCCCCCCCGCATAGCGATCATAGCTACCAAGAGGTGATAAGGACACAGTTTGAATTGTTCTGCATCTTGAATATTATCCTAGGGGGAATTAGGGAAGTGTGTGTTGTACATAGCTGTTCCATGAATAAACACATGTCCTAGCGCATATATAGGACTTCAGCTGCAGTGGGAAAGGAGAGGACACAAAATTTTCTGTGGAGGTGAACAAACTCACCTCAGGGAAGTCTCCACAGTGAAACAGGCAGAGAGCACCTCAACTTGCAAGATCCCATTCATGGAAGATTGCTGGCATTCAGCTAAGTATATCTGAGGTAAGTGGGGGACAACTGGCAAGACCTCACTGGATATGCAAGAATCCCCGAACTGAAGCATCAGATTTAAGATTATTTCCAAATGGCTCTGCCATTGCTTGCCTATATTACATAATGCATGGTGGTGATGCTTGTGACTACTTGCATGACTATGCTACAAAGTATGGGTTTGAAATAAGGACATAAGGAGGATGTGTAGCAAGAATGGGACAAATCAAAATACTGCCTGGGTGCTACTGGGAGGTCTGATCAGCTTGGCTGTTTTCATCTGGTTATGATCCAGTTTGTCAGCCTTCTCACTGAAAAGTCTAAATTCATCAAATAAGAGGTGCCTCAGCAGATAGAAGATGCCTCAGGTAAAGCAAAGGAGCACAGCCAGGTATGTCAACATAAGCTCACAAAGGATTTGGTTGTACAATCTGTGAGGGGTATGACAGCATTAATTTATTACCCTGCAGGTTTCTGATCATCTATGTGAAAAAATTGAAGCTGTGTGCCAATTGTCTTCAGGAGGTTTATCTAGGCTGCATCTCTGTCCCATAGGAACTGAGGATATACACCTATATGGGCTTAGCAGCTAGCAGTCCTATAAAAAGAGGTGCAAGGACACAGCCCAGTTTCACTCCGCTTTGGATGTCAAAGGGATCTGATGTTGAACCATCAAAAACTACAGTGCCCTTCATTTCCTCATGAAAGGACCCGATGACGTTAAGGAGTCGAGGTGGACATCCAATCTAGGGAAGTATTCTAAAGAGGCCGTCCCTGCTAATCAAATCAAAGGCCTTTGTGAGATCTATGAAGGCCACAAAGAGTGGCTGTCATTGTTCCCTATATTTCTCCTGCAACTGTCTGTGGGAGAAAACCATGTCAGTGGTGGATCTATTAGCTCAAAATCCACACTGAGATTCTGGACAGACTCTGTCTGCCAGGACCTGGAGCCTCTTCAGCACAACACGGGAAAGCAGCTTCTCTACAATGCTAAGCAGAGAGATGCCATGGTAGTTATTGCAGTCGCCCCTGTCTCCTTTGTTCTTATACAGTGTGACGATGTTTGCTTTGTTTTTGAATTCTTTTTATGCTCTGTAAAACATTTTGTGTGTCTCTTAGTATTGTACTTTTTTAACGTGCACTCCAGTTCGATATTATATTTTGGTTTCTTGGTTTTATGGTTTCAAATTTTTTTGTGCTCTCCGTGTAAACTTTTTGTTTAGATATATACGGTAGATTTTGTCACTCTGATTTTTCTGTAAAATTTTTCTTTGTGTCTTTTTAACCCTCTTTATACTGTGCGTGAATATATATTTTCCTCGAAACTTAATTTAATTTCAAAGTTTTCGTCTTGAAATTTTATCTTCTTGCATTGTGGTTTGTTTCATGCCCTTTTTATATTTCTTTTTGCGTCTTAAAATTCACTTGTAATTAAATCATTGAATGTTACTGTTTTGGGGGGGGCATTTCATTTTCTTGCAATTGAATTTTATTTTCAGGAGTCAGTGGATTTAAGTTTCTTTCTTGAATAAATAAATAAATAAATACCGCCGTGGGGAGGGGGGCAATGATAACCTCCTCACCCAAGGGGGCATTTCTTTCAAAAAGGTTAAGAACCACTGCTGTAATCAATACTACAATAAACAACAGGATTTTTTACAACTTGAGCTTAGAAATGCTACAATAGACCTTACTAGTATAATTCAAACATAAAATAGATGTCTACTTATAGAAAAATATAATTTAATTTAAAACAAACAAAATATAGTAAGGCTTCAGACTTACAGTGTAAGCTCCCCAAACTCAAAGATCTTGGAACTGCTTTCCAAGTACTCATGCTTAGAGTCTGATTACAATATCACAACAACCTGGCACAAAATTAACAAAGCTAAACCCATGTTTACATTCTGCTATATACCAAAACATACATCTTTTAATACACTCATTTAATCCAGTTCATTCCTCCAATCAAAACAGAGGAAGTGGTCTGAAAGATCTAAAGTTTCCAGCTCTGAACTGTCACTAGATGTGATTTTCCATTCTGGAGAAACAGAATATTCACATGAACTGAAGGATGTTTCAGTGTTCATACGCAAGGCTGCAAACTCAAGCACAGATCTTCTAGCTGTCCTTTAGGAGCAGTTCCATTTGCAACTGATATTTAGCCAGATGTTTTTAGAATGTTTCATCTTATGTTTGTATATCACATCTAAAGAAGATCAGGATATATTCCTTCTTTTTTTCTCCCAGATAAACGGTAGCCCTGCCTTCATCTGTTACTTTGTGTATTAAAACACATACTGACTGGAGGCCTTCCCTCCAGTCAGCTAACTCTTTTCATTTCTCTTTTCTTATCTTATCCCAGCCTAGTATCCTTTCTTAATTAATTGTTTTAATTAATATAGAAATTGTATTTTATGACTATATATATATTTTTTATATAGATCTATTTTATGTTGTAAGCCGCCCCGAGTAGACATGGTCTAGAGGGGCGGGGTATAAATTAAATGAAATTAAATTAAATTAAATAAATAAATAAATAAATAAATAACTAAATAAATAAATGAAGACACAGCATATTACAGTTATGAAAAGTGAGATGCATCAGAGGCTACACTTGAAGCAGTTATGAAAAGTGAGATGCATCAGAGGCTGCATTGTCCAAAAAGCCTTGCCAATCCATGCTTACAGGCACAGTGTGTTTGCTGGACTCTCAGACTATGCCGGACAAAAAATTACCAAATATTACTCTGTACATAAAAACATTGTTCACACATGAAATTTGAAGTGTGTGAAATTACTTACACAAAATGTTTGTGTAAGTACAGTAATCCAGCTCAGCACTGAAGCAATACTATCCTCACTGGCATTTCTACCTTTGAATGTTGACCAAAATGTTTTTCCAGTAGTGTGAACTGAATGCAGCAACCATTTAAATACACTGTTTAATAAGTAGTTCACCCACAAATCTGAAAGAAAATTTTGTCTCTTTTTTCCAAATTTCAAAGTTCCTATTCAGATTTTCAGAAGTGGGAGAGCTTCAAGACAAAATCTCTTCAATGGTGTTTTATTCTCTGTTCTCTTTCTAGGTATTAAAATCTCTAAATAAGACAGCATATTAGGAGCCAGTGCACTCTGCAGCCCTGGCATGAGAAATATCACAACATTTACAGCAGTATGGCTCCAAAGAAGCATTGGTAGAAATTTGCTTCCACACTCCTTCTTTCCCCTGGCAGATTTTGATGAGGGACACGGGATCATCCTGAATGGGGTGGAATATGGTATGGGGGAGTGAGGGAGGTGACAGCACCATAAAAATCAGTTAAAAGTACCTTCCATGGACAACTTTGCAAAAAGGCCTTTGACAGTGATCCAGATTTACACGTGATCAGCTGTTCACATACACAAAAACACTTGCAGTATAGAAAATTATTTTCTCAGATGTCCAAATGCTTCCTGAATTAGCTCTTCTGTACAGTATACAGTAGAATGAAGAGCCTTAGTCACAGAGCTGATTTCAAACACACCCTTTCCTCCTTCCGATATCACCAGTATGATACTTTTAAAACAAAGTTAAGCCCAAAGGTTGTTTACAAGAAAAGTGCAAGGCGTTCCTCTGCATGATTCACCTAATGACGCACTCAAAGAGCACTTTAACATCAGCAAATCAGAATACACATTTACACAAAATGTAGGTAATGACACCACAGCTTTGCTCTGCTACAAGCAGATTGTTCCATATGCTGGGAAAGGATTCTGCATTCCCTCCTGTTTCTTTTGTTCAGATAACCACCTCTTAAGGCAACTTCTCATTCAAAACCAATACATTAGGGCTTTGTTATAATCATTTGCACGTGACTTACTATTTTCTCATGCGTAGAAAGAAGAACAGCCAATATTTATTCAGCTGTACATCTGAGACAGTTTAAAGTGCACTTCACAGGCTATTTACCTAGATTAATGTAAAGCAGTGTTTCATGGGTCTGATTTAATGACAGTCTTTACTCTGCAAAGTTCTGTATTAACATTTGCTTAGTATGCTTCATTATTTGCAAATTAATCATCGGAGAGCACAAGATAATCAGCATCGTTCTCATCATTGTGATCTGTAGATTTTTGCCATGTTAAAAAACAAAGGGAAGAAGTGATCAGGCTTCTTCGTGACCTGATCCATCCTCCCCTGAGCCAATATACAGCAAGTTTTGCTGGAACAAATGGTTAGACTTGACTGAGCAGACAAAATGACCAATAGTACTAAGCTACAGAACAATTCACTTACCATTTTTTAGGCTGGGTTAATGGTTTGTACTTGCTGAATTTCACACGCCATTCCAGGACCTCCTTACAGTGTTGGCAGAGCCCTTCATGGAGCTTTGCATTAATTTTCTAAAAGAAAATGTTCAAATTTGCATTTGTTTAGTTGCGCTAGAAAAATAAATCTCACAAATACAAAGAAATTTAGTTTAAATAGCTATTTTTTTAGAAGATATTTTACTGACATTTTCTGTAGTCCACTATAATCATAGAATCCAAAGTCTCTCAATTCCTTCTTTATCCTTACCAGGACTCACAGCCAGTCACTCTCATTTGCAGTGTGATGAGGGGGAGAAGATGGAGGACAAAATGGGGATCCAATTAAAGATTGTATTAACTACATGAATTTCTGGATGGGTTTCAAAAAATGATGCAAGACTGCTACAAGGAACATGTCAATTTACACAGCAGTTTTTACATGTTTACTTGGAAATAGATAGCACTGGGTTCAACAGGGCTTTATTTCCAACAAGTGCAGATAAGGTTGCAGAATTAGTAAGTTGGACACATCTAAAGTAGGTCTATAAATTATGTCATTTAAATTAAAAAACACAAGAACTCAGTACATGGCAGAACACCCAGCATGAACTGTGTGTCTTAAATGTCCCATCTGAATAGCTGCTGAGAGCATCAGTCTAACATTTTTAATTGCCAGCTGTTTTTAAATGTAATATTAACTTAAACTTAATTTTCACTTCATTTTTATGTTATATTATTGCAACTGTTGTAAACTGCCGAGTGGCCATCAGTCACTTGGCTGGTATAGAAACCAAACCAAACCAAACCAAACCAAACCAAACCAAACCAAACCAAACCAAACATCCATCCATCAATCAACCAGGATTACTCTGAAAACCCCTCTGTTCTAAAAGAAGCTTGCCATATAGCACAAGGGACTGTGCCATCCTGCAAGCACAAACCTAATTGGAGTTGTTTGCTTTTTATGCTGAATATATTGAACTTCAATCTCTTAAAATCAGCATAGTTCAGACAATCTTATCATTATAATTCATGTCATACAGATATGCCAAGAGCTCTAAATGTATGATGAAGGAAACAGTGGCCTCTGATAATTCTAAAACCAGGGAATTCAAATGAAATTACAGCTAACCTTTTTTGATCTCTTTCTCTCCAAAGGAGGGACAGCAAGGATAAAGGAGAAGCATCACCCCTCATTTTCTCTGATCAGTCAGAATTAACATTGACTGATTTGTCAATATAACTTTTATTAGAAATATTTACAGTATTATGAAATTAAATGCAGATAGGGTTGCAGAATTATATCAAAGGACATTAAGATAAGTAATATTTCTTATTAAAGATGTTCACTAAAGTACTAACCATCACTTATACTGAAAAGGCATCATGCTAGATTACTTCAGCCTGCTTTAGGGCAAGCATCATAAATTAGTGATCTGCCCGTAGGAGCATGACGCAGAGGCTACCGAGCAACCCCAAGAGGGAGTAGGTTATACTGAAGACGAATTGGCCTATGATACCAAAATGCCATCCATCAATAAGGTGGTATGTTCATAGCTTAGCAAGAACTGTTGTCATCTGGCTAAGAATGCCCAGGACACAGCTTGTAGCTCTTTAAGGTCATTTGCCACAGGCATACCTTCTTCCTTTACAAATTCAGCTCAGTTTCCTTTCATGACATTTTTCTCCCAAGAAAAGACGGAATTATAGGATAATCTTATCTTCTTATCTGATCTTCCTGACCAGCTTGCAAAAAATGCCAATGTCAAATGTATGACATTCAAAGTCCTCAGGACATTATATGATCATAAAATCTCTCTTGATAGTTTATGTATTTGGTTCCTATAGCAGGAAATGGATGGGTGAGCACTTTGAGAACTCACTGTTTTAAAAAGCTATGTATTGCATTGGCTCAAAGAATAATGGAGCAGTCTATAAGACATTTTGCCCTTTTTGAAGATCATTTGCCCTCCTTTAGTCAATGCAGGAACCAAATCAAAATATATCTGTCAGATGTATAATTTTCTCTTGAATGCCTCTAGTGTTGGAGCACTCACCACCTCCAAAGTAATTGATTCCACTGTTGTACAGTGGTGCCTCGCATTACGATGTTAATTCGTTCCAGCGAAATAGAAAATTGCGAAAATTAAAAGCCCATTGAAACGCATTGAAACCCCTTCAATGCGTTCCAATGGGCTGGAAACTCACTGTCCAGCGAAGATCCTCCATAGGGTGGCCATTTTTGGTGGCTGTCTTGCAAGGAATCCGTCCAAAAACACAACAGGGAGCCATTTTATTTATCCGGCGGCCATTTTGAAACCGCCAATCAGCTGGAGAAAAATCGTCGTTTTGTGAAGAATCAGTTCCCGAAGCAGGGAACCGATCATCGCAAAACAAACAAACCAAAAAAAAACCCATTTGGACCATCGTTTTGCGAGCGCAAAAAGATCGTCGCAATGCAGTTTCGTCGTAATGTGGGGCAATCGTAAAGTGAGGCGCCACTGTACTGCACTAACAGTCAGGAAGTTTTTCCTGCTATTCAGCGTAAATCTGGCTTCTAACTTGAGCCCATTATTACATGTCTTGCACTCTATATTACCCAACTTGTTACCAACTCCCAGTTTTAAAAGAAACCATTGCTAAGCACTCTCTGAGTACAATTGTGTAACAAACTGGATATCCACCTGACACTTGTTCTATCCAGTACATTCCTAGTTAGCTTCCTAATCAAAATATCAAAGGCACCTTATCAAAAGTTTTGCTCTACAGCAGAGGTCCCCAACCCCCGGTCCATGGCCCGGTGCTGGTCAGTGGCCTGAGCTGGACCGGGCTGCAGAGACAGACCTCCCGCCCTCCATGCACTCACCTCTGCACAGCTGATTCGCACAACTGGACCGGGCTGCAGAGGCAGACCTCCCGCCCTCCACGCACTCACCTCTGCACAGCTGATTCGCACATGTGTGTGTGCTCCAGTGTGCCCATGCGAGCGCCAAGTGCAGTTTGCGCATGCACATGAGTGCTCGCGCACCCGCACAAGCACTGCACCACCGTTTGCACATGCACGCAAGTGTTCTCTCGTCTGTGAGAGTGTGCGCTTGTTCACACATGTGCATGAGTGCGGGGCTGCCCCACCTTCCCTAGCCCATCCACGGGGTGAAAATAGTTGGGGACCCCTTTGTGAGAGCGTGCGCTTGTTCACACATGTTCATGAGTGCGGGGGCGCCCCACCTTCCCTAGCCGGTCCACGGGGTGAAAATAGTTGGGGACCCCTGCTCTACAGCATTCCCACCATGTACGAAGGAGGTTACACCATTAAAAATGAGGTAAGATTAATCTGGTAGGATTTGTTCTTGATAAATCCATGTTGGCTTCTAGTTATTATTGCATTGCTTTCAAGGTGCTTTCAGAGTGATGCTTTATAATCTGCTCCAGATCTTTCCCTGAATATATATGTCAGGCTGACTGGTCTGTAGTTCCCTGGTTCTTCCTTTTTGCCGTTTTTGAAGATAGGAACAATGTTAGCCTTCCTCCGGCCATCTGGCACTTCACCCATTCTCCATGATTTGAAGAAAATAACATACTGGTTCTGAGAGTCAGTACTCTTGGATGCAGTTGACCTAGTCCTGGAGATCTGAAATCATTCAAAGTACTAAGGTAGTCCTTGGCCATTTGTTTGTCAATCTCAAACTGCAATCCTGCCCCCTCCATTTGTATTTTATGTTTACCTGGAGGTTCATAGGCTGTCTTTTGGGAAAAGACCTAGCTAAAGTAGGAATTAAGCATTTCTGCCTTTTCTTTGTCATCTGTTATCATTCTTCCTTCCCCACAGACTATTGAGCTACTATATTTTTTCTCTTTTGCTACACATATATCTGGAAAATGTGTTTTTGTTACTTCTGCCTTCCTAATGCCATCCCTATACTTCCTTGCTACTATCTGGAAATGTGTTTTTGTTACTTTTAGTGTCTCTTGCTAACCTTAGCTGAATCTCAGCTTCTGCCTTTCTAATGCCATCCCTATACTTCCTTGCTACTACTCTGTACTCTTCCTTTGTGCCCTGGCCTTCCTTCTACCTCCTCTATGTGCCCCTTTTTATTTTCATATCCTGTCTGAGCTTTCTGTGAAGCCACATGGGCCTTTTTTTGTGTTTTTGTTACTTTTAGTGTCTCTTGCTAACCTTAGCTGAATCTCAGCTTCTGCCTTTCTAATGCCATCCCTATACTTCCTTGCTACTACTCTGTACTCTTCCTTTGTGCCCTGGCCTTCCTTCTACCTCCTCTATGTGCCCCTTTTTATTTTCATATCCTGTCTGAGCTTTCTGTGAAGCCACATGGGCCTTTTTTTTTTTTTTTTGCTGATTTCTACCTTTTGTTTCTTGTTGGAATTTTTATAGTTGTGCCTTCTTTTTAAAGAAATTCCCACCCATCTTGGACTCCTTTTCTTGTTAGGATCGCCTGCTATGGGATTTTGTTTTGTGTTTATTAAAATTGTTCTGAGTTTATTAAATTGGCTTTCCTAAAACCCAGTGTCCATGTGTGGCTACACCCTGCTTTTGTTTCCGTTGAAATCAAGAACCCAAGCAGAACATGGTGATTTTTGGCCAGAATTCCCTTTACTGACGCTTCTTCCATCAAATCATCTTTACTGGTTAGAATCAAGTCAAGGATAGTTAATCTTCTAGTTTGTTCCTCCACTTTTTGTAGGTGAAAAATATTAGCAACACAAGCCAAGAATTTCTTAGAAGGGCCATATCTGGCAGAATGCACTTCCCAATCTCTCATTACTACTACATTGTGTCTCTTTGAAATGCTTGTAATTTGTTTTTCAAAGGTTTCATATGTATTTTTTCCTTGACTGGGTAGTCAGTCCAACTACCATGTTACTTCTGTTTTTCAACCCCTATTGTATTTATGCAGATACTCTTAATGGGACAACAAAGCTCATCCTCCTGTTTTTCTGTGTAGGAATATGTATTTTTGACATATACTCTGACTTCATCTCTTTCTGTTTTTTCTGTTCTTTTTGAACAATTTACTGTACATCTTTCATTTGCTATATTCCAGTCATGGGGAGTGACTGGAATATAAACGCAT